CATTGGATTATACATGTGTGTTAAAGAATATTCGGATTTATTTCTGAATTTGATGATTGAACACGAGCCAATCCTGGCAATTATATTTGTTCAAGAGAACTATCTCGCATGGCGGGAAAAAGTTTGAGAAAATACCCACATGGCGGGAGGAGGATGTGACGATTCATATGCTCTAAAGAAATATCCCGCACATGGAGAGAAGTTTGGGATAGCTCTTATGCTATTCTAGTATTTACCGTACACTCTGATTGTGTCATGGTCATAAGTACTCAAATGAGTTTGAGAACAAAAGAAAGTTGCATGTGAACCAAGAGATAAGAATGATATGCAAGTGTGACTTGCAGAAGTATTGATAATAATTGACTATGTTGAGTTTTGAAGTGTAATGAGGAAAATATACTCCCATACGAATTTTGTTTGCATGATGTAATCATGTGGATGAAGTAAGTAATCAAAGTTTCCTCATTCACAAGAGTTCTGAATGTTTCGAAATTGTGGTAGAAAAGTTCATACCACATTTCGAGGGGGAGAAATGTAAGATTAATTAAGAAAGACAATTAAGAAAGATACTTCCCCCCATACTTCAGATAATGCAATGCATGCATTGCAGGTAAAAAGTGATCTATAAAAGATGAATGTGATCGTTGAGGGAGTAAGACGGTCATAATAATGATACCCCTAAAGTAAAGAAATAGCTAAATTCCTGGACTTTTTATAGTTCCGATGGGAAGATAGCAAAGTCGGCTAGTATTCATACTGGACGAGTTCAGAGTTATCAAGGCGGTGCTAAATGCGCCGTATGAGTTTTTTTAGCAGATTAAACCCAAAATAAGAAATTTGAAGATACACCATCTTTATAGAAGATGGAGTAATCTGTGGGAGCATGGTATGTAGATACCTAAGGCTTGAATAGAAATGGGATTACATATCCACTACAGTGTTTATTAGAGCAACAAATTGCTTTATACATGCTGATGTTATATGACATATACAACATCAGATGTTGGCTCTTAAAGAGGATGAATAAGTAAACAAGGATCTTGTGATACAGGAGGCTATAGAACAATTGCCTTTTGGCAATGAAGAGTAACAATAGCCCCATATGAAAGAAGTGCCATGAGACCCTAGAAGGTCTCAAAGAATAAGAAAATCAGATATTTCTGGTGACTAAGAAGTAAAAGTTAAGAAAGAAATTCAAATAGAGAGTGATTCCACCTCATTTGAAGAAGCCATGATAGGCGTTCACTCGTCTAAATGGCAAGAAGCAAAGGAACATGAAATGAAATCGATAAATACCAACGATGTTTGGGACTTAGAAGAAATTTCTAATGGAGCCAAAACAGTAGGCTATAATGGGTCTACAAGACAAAGGTGACTCCAAAGGGAATATAGAAAGATATCCAAAGGGAATATGGAAAGCTATAAAGCGCCACTTGTGGTGAAATGATTTACATAAAGAGAAGGAATAGATTATAATGAGCATGCAAGGATTCTTTTAGAATCATAATGGTATTAGTGGCACATTACGATTTACAGTTACATCAGAAGGATGTAAAGACACATTCCTCAACAGGGATTTGTATGGAAAAGTTTACATGGCATAACTCAAAAGGTTTTGTCGTGGAAGAAAAAGAACGTAAAGGGATGTTGCCTAAAGAAATCCATTTATGGATTAAAGTAAGCTTCAAGATAGTGGTTCTTGAAGCTTGACAGGACAATAAGAAAGTTTGGGTTTTTAAAGAAAATGTAGAGGACAATTGTATTTATACAAAGTTTAAACATGGGAAATTTATTTTCCTAATCCTGCATGTGGGTGGCACCTTACTCGCTAGTAGTGGTGTTAATCTACTGTTGGAGAAGAAGCAGTTCTTGTCCTCAAGTTTCAATGAGAATGGTCTTGGTAAAGCATCATTCGTTCCAGGAATTGGAACTTACCGTGATAAAAGGAAAAGGGGTATTAGAACTATCTCAAGTGTATACTTAGAGAAGATTCTAAAGAAATAAAGTATATACGTGAATAAACCTACGCCTGTTCCTATAGTCAAGGGTAATAGTTTTCAGAACTTTCAGTGTTCCAAGAATAAATGTGAGATCGATCAAATGGACGTCCTATATGCTTCAGCTGTTGGAAGCTTACTGAATGCTTATAAGCAAGAACTTACCCTTACACAGTTCATGTATCCAGAATGTTTTTGGCAGAAGTCCAGTCCAGATGTAGATCACTAGAATGGAGTTGAGAATGTTTTGCAATTGTGCAAAGATTTATAGGCCTCATGGTGAGTAAGAAAGAATAAGTACTCTCAAATAGTTGTGGGTACAAAAGTTAAATTTTGGCGAGATGTTTAGTGAAACCCACATAGTAGCTAACACTCGCAGTTGGAGTTTTATTGTGGAAAAGCTTCAAAGAAACAGTTGTGGTGTCATCAAAGATGCATACCCATGGTATAGCTTGTTATGAGGCTTAAGGACAGGCGAAGTGGTTAAAAGAACTTACACCCGGAATTGATAATGGTATGTAACAGCAATAACCATTTAAGTAGTTCGCTCCTATAACAACGGGTCAAGTGTGCTGCCAAACACATTGACATTAAAGTTGTACGTTGTGAAGGAGAAAGTCCGGAATCATACTAAAAGTATTGAACATATAAGTAACAAGCAAGTGCTTGCGGATCCGCGTACAAAAGGCTTACCACCCAGTGTGTTTGGAGAACACACAGTCGACATGGGTTTATGGTATAGCCTATGATTTCCGGACAACAAAGGGCTCAAAGTTAAAGAATCTGTTTCAGAACAGAGATGTGTATTGTAGCTGTTAAGTCTATCGACAATTGACCGTGACGATGAAGCATGCTCTATGCACTAATTTGTGATGGAACAAATAAAAGTGAAAATGATTAAAGTCAAAGTTTAAAGTTAAAGTATGAGTTGAGATCAAGGGGGAGAATGTTGGTTTGATCTCCCAACCACAGTGGCCCAACGGCCACTTGGGCCTTGACCTCGCGCCCTGATCGGGGGCGCCCAGTCCATCTATGGCTGGCGGGCCCCCGTCACACTGCGCATTAAATAGAGGTGGGGTCGACGGCTCTCGGTACGAGGTTCGCCTGAGCCGTACGCCCCACCTAGAAACCCTACTCCGATCTAACAGAGAGGCGCAGCCAGTGACGGGAAGTACCGCCGCCGCCACTGCACTGCGCCACCACGGTCTTCACTGCGTCGCTCTCTTCACCGACCGTCGCTGCCTAGCGCAGAACTTCACCGATGAACCTGATGGCCGGATCCCCTACTCAATGGATGGTCAGTGCCTAATCCTAGCTCTTCCTCTCCCTATCTGTCCCTCTCCGTTCACACCATTACTACGAGAAACCCAATGAAAACCCCACTGGATCCACTTCTAGATGGTCCCAAAGCATTTTACACTCTCTTCCTCGGTCCATGTAGAGTGCACGAACCTGCTTCCCGGTGTTGCGCTCTGCCGCCACCTGGATGCGCTTGATCTCGCGGATGCGGCGTCCTTGCTAGGCAGCAGCGCGATCCACATGTACCGCAAGTATTTGTCGATGAAGAGGAGGAAGTGGCAGTTGCCGCTCGGTGTCGGTGGCGAGATGGGGCTGTAGAGGTCCCCGTGCAGCACCTCCGTCGAACGCAAGAGCGCGCGTTGTGGGAATGGTGTCCGCCGGTGCTTGCGTGCGAGGCAGGCATCGCAGACTTGTTCGACCAGGTCCATCAGGGGCATATCGCGGACGAGCTCCTCGCAACCCATCTTCCTGAGCGTGCCGAAGTTGATATGCCCGAATTGGCCGTGCCACAGCCACGCATCCTCGCCGGTGTGCACCGCCAGACACACCGGCCGTGCTAGGTTGATGTCGAGCACGTAGAGCCGGCTTGGACCGGTGGATCTTGGCGAGCAGGCGACGCTCCTCACTTCGGATCCGCATCACTCCATCTTCCATGAGCACCTGATAGCCGATCTCGTCGATGGTCACTAGGTGTTGGAGGATCCCCGTCAGGTGCAACGCCAAGTCTTCAATCGGCTCGCCGTCCCAGAGCGCAATCGCCTCGTACTTAACACGAAGGTTCTGCGTCGTCGCCTTCCATACGCGATCGTGGCCGATATGGAGGGTCTTGATGCCTTCCTAGGCGTCCTTCGCCGTCTCCTTCGTCGCAAGCGGGGCGACCATCTCCGGTGGAACCACGCTGCAGAAGTGCAGATGGCTTCCAGCGCAGTGCAGTTGTCGTGGAACTCTCTGTTGCCATGCTCGAGGACGTCCAGACATTGCGGGCTTAAAGCTTCAGCTTCATCGGCAGCTACCATTCACTGTAGTTGGTCTTCGTCAGTTGCGGCCAATTGCCGGAGTCGCCGGTCTCCCTTTTCACGCGCTCGATGACGACCTCCTGCGGATATGTTGCGTCCCGGGTGCGTGAATGGAGCGACGGCGAGAACCGCGGACGGCGCGATGGCGATTTGTTACCACCGCCGCTGCCGGATGGCCCCGTCTTGTCGGCGCCCGGCGGCCCGGCGGGGTACGGCCATGAGACCTTGGCGGACGCCATGGCAGCTGTGGGACCTATTCAGGTTCTACTACCACTTGTTAGCTCTGGTCCGGCGATGAACGTCGCCGGCGAGAGCAGAACCCCGGCGACGAAGACGAACAGACAAAACTCACGCGATTACTTGGAAGGAACACGACGTAGAGGAATTGGTGCTGTCCAAAGACCGTAGCTTTTCATGTGTTCTATTCTTGATTATATACACAAATTACAAAGGCAAAGCCGCTCGGCTGTTTGCCGCACTTAGCGTGGTTGGCACGTCCATCCCCACCCACGACGTCTCTCGCGGCCGATCGCCCAGGTCCGTGGCGAGCTATTCCTATTCTCGGCCACGACGTCCTACGCGCACGCGGCAACCACAGAAATCGGCGCTCGTGCGCATGCAAAACAATCGAAAGATAAAGATGCTATCCTAACTCATTGGCGCAAGGTTTAGTCAACATTGACGACGGATGGTAGGCGAATGCAGCAGCAGCAGCTGGCGTTGCTGCAGCTGGCGTTGCAACGCCAGCTGGGCCGACAACCGGCAGCGCCTCGCGGAATGCGCGGTTGGCTTCGGCAGCGGCACCCTCGGCGGCAAGAGCGGCAAGACGTACGTGGTGACCGACCCCAGCGACGACGCCGACCCGGCGAGCCCGGCGCCGGGCAAGCTCCGCTACGGCCTCGTCCAGAAGGAGCCGTTGTGGATCACGTTCGCGCGCGACATGACCATCAGGTCGAAGCAGGAGCTGCTCGTCGCCTCGCGCAAGACCGTCGACGGCCGCGGTGCGGACGTGGTCGTCGGCGACGGTGGCACCTGCTTTGTTGTGCGAAACGTAAGCGACGTCATCATCCACGGGATCACCATACGCGGCTGCAGGCCTGCACAGGCGACATCGTCGGAGTCGGACGATGAGTCGGACGAGGGTGACGGCATCGCCGTCTTCCACTCTACGAATGTGTGGGTGGACCACTGCACGCTCGAGGCCTGCGCCGACGGCCTCATCGACGTCACGGGCGCCTCCACGAACGTGACTCTGTCCAACATCCTCAGGAACCATAACAAAGACGATGCTGCTTGGGCACAGCGACGATTTCACCGATGACAAGAACATGAAGGTCACTCGCTACCGGAAACATCAAATTTGCCGAGCGTATTCTCTTGACACTCGGCAAACAAGTTTTTTGCCGAGTGCTGCGTTAAAAATATTCGACAAAAAAAAAACACTCGGCAAAGAGGGTGTTTGCTGAGTGTTTTCTTTTTTGCACTCGGCAAAGAAATAAAATCTTTTTTCTGCGAAAGAAGGAGAAGAAAAAAAATAAAAAAAAACTTTGTCGAGTGCCCAGATCTAGGACACTCGGCAAAAAAAAAGCTACTTACTATGTAAAAAAGAGGCAGGAAAAAAATAAAAAAACAAGCTTTGCCGAGTGCCTCCCATCTGGCACTCGGCAAAGCAAAACTCCTACTATAACCCGGCTGCACCCACGCGCGTACCCTTCTCCCCGCACGCCCCCTCCCCTCTCCCCGCACCGCGCCCGCACACCCCCTCCCCTTCTCCGCGCACGCGCCGCGCCACCCCCTCCCCTTCTCCCCGCCGGCGGCCCCTCCCCTCCCGGCCGGATCTGGCGGCGGCCCCTCCCCTCCTGGCCGGATCTAGCGGCCGCCCAGCCACCCCTCCTTCCCCCGGTCGCCGCCCCCTCCCCTTCTCCCCGGCGCCGCCCCCTCCACTCCTTCCCCAGATCCGGTGGCGGCCCCTCCCCTCCCGGATCCGGCGGCCGCCCCTCCCCTCTCCTAGATCCGGCGGGTGGCGTGGCGGCGGGTGGCGGGCGGCGTTCGACGTGGGGCGGCAGCGGGCGTGGCGGCGTGGTGGCCGTGGTGGGCGGCGGCCGGTGGCAATTTGTTTTTTTTATTTCTTGCGAAAAATGTTTGCCGAGTATTTTTTGGGCACTCGGCAACGTCTTTGCCGAGTGCCCGACGAAAAACACTCGGCAAAGTCAGTTTGCCGATGAATTTTTTGCCGAGTGCCCTTTACCGAGTGTTACACTCGGCAAAGGATTTGCCGAGTGTATTCGTGGCTTTGCCGTGTGCCCGTTCCCGGTAGTGACTGCTGCGTTCAACCGTTTCGGACCTGGTCTTGTACAGAGAATGCCAAGGTGCATATGCATGATCAAGAAGCCAGCGTTTTATTTTGTTTAATAATACGATAATGATACATACCAGACGTCAGGACGGACGGACGCCTTTGTCCGCTCATTTCCGTACCCGCTCATTCCTCCCGCGCCCCTTCCCCCTCCGCGACATCTCCGCACCCGCCGCACCCACGCCACAACGCTCCTCTGCCGAGCGACCCCCCCCCCCCATGCTCATCACACGAGCCGCGCGCCGGCTGCCTCTCTCTCCCTCCTCCTGCTCTGGCGCGACGGCATGTTCGGCGCGAGAACGAGCTTTGATCCACGCGGCCACCCCCCGTGACCCCCTTCTTCTTCTCCGACCGGCCACCCTCGGCCTCAACTCCGGTGTGGGGATGGGCGCGACCCTGACGGCAGCCCCGGCGCAGGTGCGCGGCCATGCTCCGGCACCGACAGCCTCCAATGCTCGCAGATCCGGCGGCCATGGCGCTCCTCGCATGAGGCTCTCTCTCTCCCCATATGTTGCAATTATATGTTTCAATTATTTCAAACGTTTCAGAGGTATGTTGCAGTTGAATCATATGGATGTTGCAAAACTAGATCGGGGTTGTTGCACATGTTGCATATGTTGCAATTGTTTTCAGAGGCGTGTTGCAATAGTATGTTTCGAGTGTTTCAGAGGTATGTTTCATCTGTGTTTTTCGGACGCAGTTGCAATTATGTTTATCTGGATGTTGCATATGTTTCACACATATGTTGCATGTGTTTTATTCGGATGTTGCGTACGGGTTGCAATGGTTTTCAACTGTGTTTCAGATGTGTTTTTCAAGTGTTTCATAAGCATGTTTCAAGTGTTTCAACTGTCTTCAGACGTATGTTGCAACCGTTGTATTTGGATGTTTCAAAAGTAGATTTTCTGCTACATCGTCTCTCCTGGAGCAGGCAGGGCATCCATACGAGCGAGGGATGGGCGATGGACGCGATGGGCGCGGGACGAGGGAGCTGTGTGCGTCGAGTGCAAGTGAGGGAGCTCCGTACGGATGGATGCTGCCTCCGGAGCGGGATTGACGCTGGGCAGAGGGGGCTGCATACGTCGCGGTTTGGGAGCAGGGGCGCAGGCGTGTGGTGACGTGGGCGCGGTGGGCTGTCACTCTCCTGTTGCGCTGGTGCAGCCTATGTGAGGGGGCACGGAGGTTGCGTCAAACAGGAGCCGCGTCCGCACGACGTCCGGGCGCTAGGCTTGCCGTTAATAATAAGTATTCTATTTAGTATTCCATTAACTAATAATAGTTTATTCATCAAGCAATATGATGATTGCATGTACTACGGTACTTGATGATATATATAGGTGCCGGTTCGGACTGTTTCACGTCATCAACAACGACTACATAAAATGGGAGATGTATGCCATTGGTGGCAGTGCTTCACCAACAATTCTGAGCCATGGCAAACAATTCCTTGCCGAGAAGGCCAAAGAGGTTTGTGTTTTATCATCTGTTCCCTTCAGCAACTTTTGTTCTCATTTTTGTTTTTTTGCAAACCTGTGTTTCTGAAGAATGTCCCTAGTCTGAAACTCTGTCCATGATCTTTCGTTAAGGTTCTAAAGAATCCATTATTCTGGTACTCTAGGCATTACATATAAGTTCAACAAAAAATATTCCTATTTTCTATTCAAAATGAGTATGTCGCAGCATAATTTTTAGAAAGCAAACCAGGAGAGCCGCCTGTTATTTTCAGATGATCAGAAGCAAACTAGTCTGAACTGTGAAAATTTTCTTCAGGTGACCAAGCGTGAGGTAGCACCAAAGAGTGAGTGGACCTGGATATCTGAAAGTGATACGATGCTCAACGGCGCATTCTTCACATCATCTGGTACTCCTACACCTGACGTTAAGGCCCCTAGCTTTACCAAGGCGGCCTCTTTTGTGCCGGCGATCACGGCCTCTGTAGGGGTTCTGTCATGCAAGGAGGGGTCTCTTTGCTGAAAATTAAAGCTGGAGGCTCTGAGAATTTTTCAGTCCAATCTCCTTGGCAAGCAGATGAAGCAATGGACAGCTATTGTATATGACATTTTAGTTGTTCAGTGAGGAGCAGGACATGATAGCAAGTGTTTTTTGTATGACCTTTTTCTATCACTGTTGGGTTGTTGAAAAGCAAAATCTAGCTCCTTCAGTTATTCAATAGGCTCGGCACAGGTCATACAGATCCTAGGATCCCTATCCAGGAAGCATTACCATTTACTAGCCATTGTTTGGAAAACACTTATATACAGATCCCAGCTAATAAAAAAGATTCAAAATAATTCGTCAAAAACACAGAGACTCCAGATAATGTTTTGTCATAATGAAACTTGGGGCCTTACATTTACCCTAAGGAAATATGATGTTTTAAAAAGAAGTTAGAAATGATTTACTAGACATAATAGATAACATGTGACTAAGGGAAAGTATATAAACAATTATAACGACCATAATTTTTCATGCCTATAGCATATCACAAGGAACAAGACTCATTTTTCTATAATATTTTTCAAAAGATACAAGAATAAAAACATTTTTTTTCTTTCAGGTCAAGCGCAACCCGACAGCCACCGAAAACTCCGGTGTAGCCCAAGAACCAAGTGAGCAATCCGTGCAACAAGGTGTGCGGCCGGGGAGGGGCCATGGCAACTGAGACGAGGAGGGGCGTGGCCGGGGAGGGTCCATGGCCGGGGAGGTGTGCGGCCGCAGAGAGGACCTGGAGAGCGCGGCCGCGGAGGGGCCATGGCCGGAAAGGGGCGAAGCGCTCGCAACAAGAGAGGAAGAAGCGAAAGAGAAACAAATGAACCGTTATTTTTTGTGTAACGAGTGACAGTGGTGGGTAATTTCTCCAAACTCCACCAAACTTGGATTTGGTGCTCCACCAATTTGGTGAGTCTGAGGCAGATCCACCGTTTTGGTGGAGCAGATCCACGATGGAGCTACCGGATCCAAAAGCGTTTGGCTACAAAAGTTGGATCAAAATTTGGTTTGATGAATCTGGAGCTGATGGAGCTCTACCGAACAGGCCCTAAGTGAGTAGCAGCTTGGCGGGAATGGGCTGAATTACCCAAGCTAGTGACATCAAACAACAAGGACATATGAATAGATATGTTAATTTTGTGAGTCACAAGAGGAGCTATCCTATTCCTACTGCAAGCTCCCTTCCCCTAGGCTGATGACCCTCTGATAGAGGAGCAGCATCATATCATATCAAATTGTAAAAGACAGTTTTGTTCAATTTGTATTTCTTTTTGTTTCAACGGACGGATCATGTATACATATAAGTAGATGCATATGCATAAGAAAGTATACAACATAGTGGAGTAGTACAAATTAAAGTGTTAGTCGTCGATCATCAGGTGGCAGGCTGGATAAAGCCGATGTATGGGGATTGCCGGCCTTGCGGCGGCCACATGTAGGTCATCTTCCCACGCTTGGCAAGCTCAAGACTCGACGACGACGACAAGCGCTTGAGCTCCACCACCAAGAAGCAGCAAACATCGTAGGTGATGGGGGGCCCGTAGTTGGTCGGCTCCATGGTGCTCATCGGCCTGCAGATGCAGAACCTGCCGTCGCCCAGGTACGCCAGGGTTGGCATGTCCCGAGGCCTCGAGACTCGGCCGCTGCTGATGACGCACTCCTCCCAGGGCCAGGGGAACGTCTGCGGCCACACGTGCCGCACGGCCCCGGTGGTGACGTCGCACGCGCACAGGAAGCCTTTGTCGTCGGCGGTGAGGCCGATGACCGATGAGCCAAGCTCCGGGACGTGGAGCCCGCGGCCCTGGAATGGCAGCTGCCACGTCCCCTCCGTCCGCCACGTCGCGCTGTGCTCGTCGGCGGCGTCCAGGGAGAATGTGCCCTTGCCGGTGACGGAGATCCACACGCGCGTGCCCACTGCACAGTACGCCGAGACAAACGCGAGCTCGTTCTCGGCCAGGCGCCCCACGGGGGGCTTCGGGAGCGGGACGGCGTGCCACTGCCAGCACCCGCCGGGGACGGGGAGCAGCCGGAGCTTCTCGAAGCCGTAGATGCCGACGAAGAGGATGGTGTCCATCCTGATGACGGTGCCGGCGGCGGCGGCGTCTCCCGGTCCCGGCACCAACAGGGGGAGCATGGCGGGCGCGTCCCTGTAGCTGCCGAACGCGCGTGGCGAGCCGAAGCCGCGGCCCTTGGGCCACCACCGGACGAGGCGGCCCTCGGCGTCGCGCATCCGCGGGCTCGCCTGCCGCTCCCAGAAACCGTAGCCGCCGACCTGCATCACCGTGTCGTGGAACACGGTGTCCCAAAAGTCGTAGGAGGCGCCCAGGACGGCGCCGCCCGAAGCGGCGAAGGCGCGGCAGCCGGTCGGCGAGGGGAAGCGCGCGACGGGCCGCGGGGAGCAGGCCGCCGCCACCATCTTGACCTCCTCCTCGTCATCGGCGACCAGCAGGTCGTACACGAGGTGGCCCTCCTCCTCGTCGTGCACCACTAGAAGCGGCCGGCGGCGGCCATCGGAGTCGGACCGCAGCAGCCGCGTGCGTAGCAATGTCTCTCGCCGCGCGCAGCCAGGGTTGCGATTTATAGTGCGTGCTGCCTGCCCACCGACCAGATCTCGGAATCCTAGCTTCTGACGTGTTCTTCGGAAAAAAATTTGGGTGCGCACGGCCGGTTGAGCCCATCGCCCACCTAATTTATTTTCCTGTTCTTCTCGGATACGGCTGCTGGAAAATCTATGGCTTCCGCCTCCTAGCCCTTTGTTTTCATGTAATTTTGGTCTAAAAAAGGCCTAAAAGTATATAATCTCACCATGATTAAAAGCAATATACTCTAATCTCTGCACCTAAAAAGATTCTAAAGTAATCATCTATCAGTGATACCAAATATATCCCAGACTCCATTTCGGCTCCCCTTCCGCGTCGTTCTGCGTTCAAAAGCAACGGATACGAAGTCCAGATCTGACACGAACTCCTTCCTATGAAGACTCGATCCGACAAACTCTTTCCGCGTCCGATTTCAACGTCATTGTGTCCACGTGTGCAAATCTGTTATTATTTTTACACCTTCATCCAATGGTGCATGCGCCCAAAAACTCCAATGAGTACGCGCGCACCGAAACCGAGTCTCATACCGTGTGTTCGTGCAACTCCTCTGCAGACGTCTGGACTACGGCGCACGAGCAATAGCTTGGACCCATCGTCCATAGAAATTTATCCCTGTCCGGTTAGGAGTACGTGACGTGGGAAATAAAGGAAACACCAATTTACCCTTTGTTACCCAAACTAGATTCTACATGACTCTTCTTTACTTTTGTAGACGATTTTCAAATTAAGAATCTATAATGATATAAGTATAATTTACAAAAAAAAGAATGAAATTAAAATTAGAAAAAATTAGAGGATAAACTCCTCCGTAAAAAATAAATCAAACTCCTAAAAACAAATAAATTGGATTTAGTTAAATATTTTTCTTTTCAATTTTGTACTGTCAGTAGCAGATTATTTAGTTGTTTTATCTCACACAGACAAATAGTATGTCGACTAAAAGAAGTTCACCTTAGGATCTCATAGTCGTGAGGGCGGTTGTGATGAACACGGTTGCTACACTACTTAATTAGATTGATATGATTTCAAGTGATCATGTCAAAACTTGAATTATGTTCTAATTGAACATGAATCTCAAAAGGACGGATATAGCTACAAATGTAATGTTGCGAGTAGTTTTTTATAATAATAGTACAACACACGGTTACATATAAATTATAATGATATTATTTTCGTGTGCAACGCACGGGCATGATTCTAGTATATACATATAATTTTCAAATAAGATGTTCAAATTAAATTTTGATTGCACCATTAGATTTTTTATTGGGATCTTCAAAATAATACCACACTTGACCATGTTTTGAAGGAACTTTTTTGAATATTTTTTAAACACTAGGATAATTTTTTGTCACCCTGGAACAATGGTTTCAATTTAATAATAAAATTGTTCCGCCTCCGGGGGGAAAATATTCTGCATAGAAAATTATCCAAATATATCCAAATGCGGTCTTGTTTTGAAGATCGATCATAAGTGCAATCAAAATTTGATTTAGATACTTAGTTTAAAAACTATGAGATTTTTCTTCAACATTTTTTTGTTTACTAGTGAAAATGCACGTGCAACACGCACGTGGATATCAAAAGAAAACTCTACTTTGAAACAATAGGATAATACCCTGATTTAGAATTAACTACCAAGCTGCTATACAATAGGCTACAGCTACATTACAAAGTCCTGATGCATGAAGTACATAAACATTTCAGTTAAGCTAATATCCCCATCTATCACATCAAACCACTTGCAGAGCTTGTGATTGAAGTATGTTGACACTTGACAGTGTAGCTTGCCTACCCTCTTACCATCATCAAAATCTTTCTTCCATGTGTTCTTGGATGCTTAGTATAATCTCACCATCTTCTCATTCCCCTCCTACTACTCCTCACATCCTCATAATATAAAATAAAGATTGTCAAAGAAACCTTACTAAATTTTTGATTTACTGAAAGAAACTTTAGAAGCTTGGAAGTTACCAAAAAGGCTTGTACTCAAAGCTGTTTTTTTCCGATCAGTGTTTGCTCACTAAAATTACTTTTATTAGCCCATAGTAAAAAAAAAGAAGAACTATAATATGTAGGATAGTATATAGAATAGAACAATATCATATCTAGCCTATGAAGATTAGCAGTAAAAGGAGAGTATAAAGTTGGAAATTCTTCCTATGAAAACCTCCATTGCCAATGCGTGAATTGCAATCTTTGTTGAGTATTACACCTGATTGCATTATGGATATCAATTTGCCATTCAACTGAACCTACCTCCAATAGGGATTGTTGTTGCACCATTTTAATTGAAATTTTATTCCATCATGGAGTGGTTCTCCTTCCCCTATTGCTTTGTAAAACTTATTCTTAAGTTGGTCAGCAAGCTCTTTGCTGGCTCAGTGCAATATATCAGGTGTGGACGTCTCTTCCCCTCTGTTTTTCTGTCAAAAAAGTGGAAAGAAAGTAATTTGTTTTACAGTTTTAAATCTGAGAGTCTACTCCATTGACTATATTGGAGCGTAATTAAACAAAAAATTTATCATCTTATCCCCATTGCCATCAAAAGCAATGTTGTTGGCCCAAGGAGCATCACCCTGTGCAGATCATGCCTGAAGGCATGCATCACCCGTCCACCTTGCTCTCTTGCTCCCTATCCAATTCTAGTTCCTGTCAATATGATTTGTTCATGACAATTAACCGAATGAAATAAACTCAACTAAAGATCTCGATAACCCATCTAAATCCCTCACAAGCAACATTAGACAAGGGAGGGAGCCCTCTATGGTTCACTTCCGCATTGGGGTTTCAGTTGAACTGACAAAAATCGGTACTCTGCTGAAGAATAAAAAATAGGTAGGGGCTCCCCTGCCGGCAGATCTTGCTAAGACATACACTAAGACAAACATACTGAAGAATGTTACTGTTAATTTGATTAGATGAAATCATGAAATTGGTGTGTAGATTTTTATTATTTCTTGAAACTCCACATATAGCATTAAACAAAGTTCAACAACAATAATAATATAATAGTAGATAAATAAATTTTGGATGCAACTGAACAGATTATTAGTTACCTGGCACAAATCTTGTCGAAGTAGATAACAAAACCTGCAGGAGACAAGAAGCACCAAAATGTCGACCGTGGCAATCATCATCAACAATAATCAAATCAACTCGTGGAAACCTGCTGCGAGATGTCAATTTACAGCATGAGTTACTTGCTGCTGAGCCCCGCCTACGGCCTCCCTCTGCAGGTCAACAACAATCAGCGCCTGCGTCACTCCGTCCTATCCGCCGTCGGCTGCATCGCGCACCAACACCACCCAAATCCAGTAATAGAACACAGTACCAGTGTGTGCGCGAAAGCCAGGAGGGAGGGGTTGTGAACCGAAGAACGTACCGGCGATGGAGTAGTCATCCTCGGTGCGCCGAAGAGGAAGCAGTCGGCCTGCAGACCTTGGCGCGGAAGATCTCGACGGCGGGCGGGAAGCCGATGCCGCCGCCGGTCGAGGCCGGTGTTGATAATGGACCGGTCGACGACGCGGAGCCCTGCGATGGAGTCCTTACACACAACACACCTCCGTGGTGCTGCCGGTGACGAGCCCGCTCGGTGCTTCCCCGCCTGCCGGCTCGTCGTCCATCGCGCCGGCAACTGTGGCGTCCCCGGCGCCCCCGCGAGGGCATGCGCGTCCGGGACTTTGGTGCGTCACGAATTCTGCGTGTGGGTAGCGTGCGGCGTGCGGCGGCGGGAGAGGGGGCGGGGTGGAGGAGGAGATCTGTACTGCGTGATTGAGGGGCTACGGTTACGGTGGAAACAGAGAGAGAGGCGTGGGTCGGGAAGGGAGGGCGGAGCGACGCGGCGGTTTCCTTCGGCCTCTGCCTTCGCCCAATCAAGCCGCGGGCATCGCCACCAGCGAATATGGATTACGGAGGCGCCGGGACGACGCTACGGTTCGCAACGGAGACAAGGAAGGGAGGAGGGTGGGTACGCGGGCGGGTACGTTCGTCGTAGGTGAAAAAAATGCCGACCAAGGCGTGGTTGATACCGGAGATGAGACGAAACACGCTGTCACACAAGCATCGTCCCTCTCCGCGGTCCACCCGTCACTTGTATCTTAACCGTTGGATGGAAAATCAAGACAAGGAGATCTTGGGTGGGTAGGAAATTTTTGTAATTCCTTCGCTCATTTATAGTATAGATAGATAGATAGATACGGATTCCTAGATGTAGGCGCAGGGGTGGGCGGTGGGTGGATAATGAGTGAATACAACTTTCTTTTTTCTCCGGACTTGTTTGAAACCCACCTTCAAGTCAATTTCAACGAGCCAAGCCAAAAATAAGTGCAATTGAAGCAATTTTAAAATGAGCCACAAGCATGCTTAATGAGCTTTTTGTCCAGCCCTACTGGTTAAAGACCGCTAGGCAGTGTATAATCCCCTCCCCTGCACAAGCCCATCGCAATCCGCCCCACTGCTCATTTCTATTGCGGCGAGGGCATCACCGCCGGTTTTGGGGGTCAGCAGTGGTAAGTCGGTGTGATGGGACCCCCTCCCCCCCCCCAAAAAAAAGCCCTCATCACCGACGGTTTTGAACCGGCGGTGATACTCTCCTCTCCCCCCCCCCTCCCCCTCCCCCCCCCTCTCCCTCCACCACCATCACCGTAATTGTTTCATGGGCTAGTGGTAATGGACCACCTATTCAACAAGGTAGGAATTAAATAAGTGGGTAGAAAACAACCTTCGAGTCAGTTGATGATGTGGAACCTTCAAATTTGGGCCTCTCCTTGATCAATTGGGTGAAAAGAACCTCTAAAATGAAAGAAAGAGCCTT